GGGGGGGGGGGGGGGGGGGGGGGGGGGGGCTGTTTCAGGGTTTGTTTGCTCTTTATTCCCCACTGCGGCCCCCAACCTGGTCCAGGCCATTTTCTAACCCAGACTTCCTGCTGCCAAATGTCCCCCATGCCCGAGCCAAATTCAGCCGGGGGAGGGCAATCCTGCCGATGGGAGAAGAGTCCTGCGCCCCTCTCGACATCCTTTCCTTGCAGCATCCCCTGGGCTGGAGAGCTCGTCAGCCCCCTCGGAGCCCTGCCCCGGCTTACTCTAAGTAGTGATTCCAGCGCCTTACAGAGGAATTCCAGAAGACAACCATTTTTCACCATTGAATTAATGCATGTTAATTAATTTCCTGCGTATTATGCAGAACTGCAGAAGTTTATGGATTCCTCCATGTTCCAGGAAACAGGTCCCCCATTTAAAGACAGTCAGGGTTTGCCCTGGATGGGCGTTTCCCCCTTTCTTGTTGCACAGTAGCTGGAAGAGAAGCTTCCAGTTCGTCCTTCTCCGTTCAAGAGCCTTCCACGAGGGAACGCTTGTCGTCCAGGATCCAGCCCTGGAATGAGAATTAACTCCCGTGCAAAGCTCCTCCAAGCCACCTTCCCTCTATGCAAAATAGGCAGCCAGTAACAGAAAGGCAGACTCAAAAAGAAAGAAATACGGATTTGTTTTTCAAAAAACACACTTACCTCTGGCAGAACGATGATTTTGAAAGAGAACATCTGGGAGGAAACTTCCTGGAAGTCTTTGTGAGCTGCAGTGCATGATGCCATTTTCACAATAGCTGCAAAGAGAAGGAAGCAGGGGGCATTTAACAGGATGGCTCTGTCTTGCTCGCCCGCCATGGGCCGAGCTGGCTGACCGCTGGGGTCACAACCTTCGCCCCCAGAGCATGGAAGCTGCCAGTTGTAGAGGCAAAAGCATATTTTGCAGAAGGGCTGTGAAAATGGGATGCCGAGGACAGCAGGACAACATGTTATGAGTGCAATTACATAATCTGGCTGAGCACATTTAATAAGTATAATTCTTGAGTAAGTCCTTTGTATCCCTTTTCCCTTTCGTCCAGGTTGAAATCAGTCCTAGGGAACTTTACTCGCAGGCTTCTAATGAATTGCTGGAGGGAACTACCAGCACTTCCCTGGGCGTAATGAAAGCAGTTGCGCTTAATCAATGTGAAATACCTCCAATTAATTTGGAATGTAAATTAGTCAGGCGAAGCACCGAATTCTTCTTGGCCTGACACACTTTCCTGGGCATCTGGTTCCAACCAAAGGTGTGGATCAATGCAGCAAGAGGGAAGGGCTGCTGTGAGCAAGTGCAGAGATGACCAAGTCAGGGCTCCAGAACTGGCCCCCTTCTTGCTCTCGGCCATTCTGGAGACAGTCTGCCCTGGCCCAATGCCCACAGCTGGAGTGACGCATCCCTACCCTAGATCTTGTAAGGGAAAATATCAAGGCTTGTACATTTTAAGGCTGTGCAGAGCTTTAAAATCGTTTTCCTTGTGGAAAGGCTGCTAAGCACTCAAGGGGCAACCCTGCAGATTTGCTCAGTAGGAGTGGGTTCCCTGAAAGTCCAGCTCTTGGCTGCCAGTGCTACCCGTGGCATCTTCAGAGCAGAGTTTCAGAGAAACAGGACCCATCTGGAGCTTCTTAGAGGCCCTGAACAGGGTCAGGTGAGTCTGCCTTGCCTAGAATAAATGAAAAAGTTCCAAATGACTTCAATCTGCCTTTCAAACCAGGCTTTGAGCAATCCCGTGCATATGTCTAGAAGATACATCAAAGACATTACTGGAGGGCAAAGAGGGGGTTAAGATGGTACTTCCCCATGTACATTTGTGTGAGATGAAACCCAGGTTCCACACTTACCACATGGTGTGGTGATCAGAGAAGACATCATCCGGCTGGAAGATCTCACCATCGTAGTAGCAAGAGCACTGGGATCTGGGCACACAGTCTCCCTGCTGGTCAAGGTACAATCCAAAGGGGCAAAAACAACCCTCGGTGCAAAATTCACGGCAATCGGTGTCTGGATGGGAGAGAGACCGGCAGGTCTGATTGCAAGGACTTCCACACTGCTGGTAGAGTTGGCCTTCTGGACAGCTCATGGCTGTAAAATGATAAAGACATGGGCCAGGATAAGAGAGGGTGTTTGGAGATGCTACTCAATCAATTCATCGAAATGTCCCCTGAAGGACCTATTCTGCAATTTCCATATGGAAGGAATGTCGGAATCCCTTTTTGAAAGGACGTATTATTAATCTTTAAATGCTTAGAAGAATGAAGTAAGAGAGGCATCATCGCTTTAAGGAGGGGGGTCCCCGTGCACTAAGCAACCCCCTCTTCCTCCTTTTTCTCAGCTTCAGAGTTGTTGCAACTTATCTGAGCAAAGACGATTCTGGGCTTCTAAGTTTATATGGAAAGAACCCAAGAGAAAGCTCCTTGCCGTGCCAATATTGTCCTCATGGATGCTGGGGGAGGTCTGGCTTGGGAAGGCCCCAAATCACGGATCCCGAGTTTCTGATTTGGACTGTCTTCTGACCCTTTTTCACTTGTGCAACAGGTTCTTCCCTTTTTCAGGGGTAACCTTGGGCCCCAAGCAGCAAATGCACGTTTATTCCTGGCTTGCCTATTGTGTGAGCGAAGAAGCAAAACATATGCCACCCATTGATGGTCCTGTATCTTCAGATGCCAGATCCTTGCTACCACCCTGCCCCAGCCCCATTTTTAGTCTCAGGAAGGCAGAAGAACAGGTGGTTTCCTAAATCCTTTTAGGGCTATCACTCGTGGTCCTTTTTCACCACTCACACCCTTTTCAGACTGTTCAAAACCAGTTAAATGTACTCAAAATGTACACTGCAAACAAGCGCCATCTGAGATGTAAAAGACGAACAGAAATGGCCTTTCTACAACCTACCATTCCATCAGCTCAGTCTCAACTCTGCTGTTGTTGTTGTTCAGTCGTTAAGTCGTGTCCGACTCTTCGTGACCCCATGAACCAT